TCTGCCCGTTTTGATGCATTGGCAGCCCATTTATGTGAATAGGCTCCCTAATGTACCGCATATTGATGCATGAAAAAAAATGCCGATACGGCAACGCACTGGAACGCTTAGGTCAGAATGGGCCCTTTTAGGGTTTATATATACTTTACGGAGGCACTCAGCAATGGCCCATGCGGCCTTGGTCTCTGTACAGCAGGGGTGGGCAAAACTCCGGCCTTCCAGCTGTGCTTTAACTATTTATCCCAACATGCCTCTGCCTCTGGGAGTCTTGCCTGTAACTGTCATTCTTGCAATGCCTGATGGTACTTGTAGTTCCACAACAGCTGGAGGGTCGGAGTCGCCCATGTTGAAAATAAAACTTTTTATGTGTAATGAGGAGAATTTATCAAAGCCGGAGCCAAGCCAGTATCTGGAGCGGTTGCCAATGGCAACCAATCAGCTTCAATCTTTCATTTTCAAAGCTAAGCTGAAGAGGAAAGCTGATTGGTTGCCATGGGCTCCAGTTTTGATAAATTACCCCCAGTGAATTTTGGTAGATAGGCCTCTGAATTATCAAAGGCTTTCATTAAATTTGTATTTTTTCTCTGGAGGCCCCATTCACCTGTCATCCTGATCCGTCTCTATATTCTGCTCTATCCTCTGGTGATCTGTGGACAGGGGGCGGGGGGGCATTGACATGGCAGACGGCCTCTCTTTTGTGACTTGACATCTGCTCCTGGGATCTGCCTGTCGTGAAGTAAACATCATACGGAGGTGCGAGGCTCGGTGCTCGTCCAAAATGTGTATTTCCGACAATGTTGTCGTCTCTGCCTTGTAAAAGCTGGTCGGAAAACGTCGCAAATTTGGGCTTATTTATAAACTTTAAAACGCGCGGACCGAGAACCGTTTTTTTTTGTGCTGTACTAATAATGCATTAGTTTGTTAATTAACACAGAATACCACAAATGACTCAACAGTGCCATGAAATAAAAAATTGCGCAACCCTCGCAAAAATATACAAAAATGTAAAGTTGAAGATTTTTGCACATTTTACTTTTTGTTCTTGTACAAAGAGGTGATTGACGAAGACCTACAGCAACCAATTAGAATCGGCTTTGCTAGCTTGAGAGCACTAGACTGCTGATGGCTAGCCTCTGATTGGTTGCTAAGGTTTTACTAGGCCGGATCACTGTTTGTATGCCGGACCTTACTCTCTGTACAGTTAGATATCCCTACGGGGCTGAACGAGAGAGATCGCTTGATTCCCCACATCCACGCTAACCAGCATGGATGATGGAATCTCTCCTGCTGGCGCCTGTGGCTGTGTGAACAGCGACTGAATGTGATTGGCTGCATCCACTGCTAGGCTGACAAAAGGCACCCGGTCCTTTGATTTTGTAATTGAAGTTTGTTGAGCCGGGTGGCGCCCACATGGTCACATGTGGCCCGAATTTTGTCTGATTCAGCAGCAGTTGCCTGAAATTCAAGTCAGATACGACTAGCATTAGGGTCAGGTCAGAATAATGATCCTTTTTGCTGGTGGCAAATCACAAACAAAGGAAACCATAGGGGCTCATTCATGCCGGAGCGTTGCGCTACACGATATGGCACAACGCACCAACGCTAAGCGCTTTGTGCAGTCAGTTGTGATTAGTGCAATGCTGCGGGGTGAATAAATCACTTGCTTCTACACGACTGCTCCCCGGCTATAATGCAGCATCATTTTGCTCGACGACTAGGGCTCATGTTGACGAGCGTTCTTTTCAAACTGCGTCTGCTATTCAAATACAAATTTGACTTTTGACAAGAGTAGTCTGCGTTTGACCTGCTTTGCCTGCAGTTCAACCGCAGGACTTTCTTTGTGTCCAGAGTACGCAAACACAACGCAAGGCAGATGTGCATATTTAGCTCTCAACCAAACTTTCAAGTGCTCAAATGGCTGGTGTCGTAGCTGAGCAGCACCATGGCAACTGCAATCCATATAGAGGCCAAGATGGAGCCTTCCTTGCCTGCAGTTTCACTTTAACCAAGTTCTGGATAGCAGTTAAAAATTGAATGTGGTTCTAATCCTTCCCCAGTAAAACAAAGAAAGGTATTTGGCTAGTAATACACTTTAAGGCTCTGCTCACATCCATGTAATGCGGGAGCAATGTTGCAATGTTAGGTGCGATGCGGTGCTATTATTTCTTAATGGCAACCCAAACCACCCCAAACGCCGTTGCATGTGCGTTGTCTCTCATGGTAACCTATTACCATGCAATGTGGTGCAAAAAGGTGTAGCTTTTGTTGTTCTAAGCCCTCGTTCACACCTGAACGTTTTGTAGCTCGTTCTACGCTCGACGAATGCTCTACAAAACGCTCAAACATGAAAATCCCATTGTTTTCAATGGATCTGGTTCACACCTTGGTGTATTTCAGCCCGTCCCTAACGCGCTACAAAATGGCCCACGCCTGAAAAGGTACATGTACTACTTTGGGCCGTTTTTGTTGCGTGTTTCCATTGGGATACAGCCAAGTAGCCCTTGGAAACGCGCGTTTGTTGGCGAAGTGCGGTTAAAAAAACGCGCGACAGGCGCGCATATGCAATACGCCTAGGTGTGAACCAGGCCTTAACCTCACTTCTTGCTGCCATTATGACCTAAGGGCTTGTTAACATTAGCAGCCGCTTTTAACCGCACCACTGATGGCGTGCGTGTGCCTTGACAGTGAAGATGCACAGTTTTTTTGTTTTTGTTAGAACTTTATTGAAATGTCAATAAAGTTCTATAGGCTCTGCATACTGCATGTTATACTTTGCTAAGCACACACCGCCGAAACGCAGTGGTGTGAATTGAGGCCACCCATAAAAAGGCAAATTAGTTTGTCTTGCTTTCGGGCTGCATTGGAAAAAACAGATGGCGTCGTGCAGAAATCACAATCGAGAGTGAAGTAACCAACACTCCAAGGATGTGAAATAATCAAATCAGATTTGTTATATTATGTTTTTTCGGTATACCGGTACCGAGTACCGATACCAGTGCTTCTGCAAGCATGGAGCCGGCTTCCCGGCCAATCGGGAAGCCGGGCGGCGTGTCATTACCCGCCACCAGGCTTCTTGATTGCCCGAGAAGCCGGTGTTCTATCGAAAGCTCGAGCTCTCCGACTGAACACATCACATCCGGTGACTGCCAATAGGAGATATACAGCAGATGGAACTAGTGCTCATGGGCAGAAAATCCTTGCCGAACTGTCTAACTATTGCCACTGCGACTGCGCGACTAGCGGCTGATCGGATTCTATAACCTAGTACAAACTTATATTTGTCCTGGGTCATAGAAGCCGATAGCCGCGCAGGCACAGTGGCAACTGTGGTTGTAGAAAGAATCATGTGGCCACGCAGGCGCTGTAACATAATATAACCTTTTGACTAGGTTATAGAATCCGATGAGGCAATAGACACTGCACCTGCGCGGCTATCGGCTCATCGGCTTCTATAACCTAGGACAAATTTAACTGTAGTAGGTTATAGAAGCTGATAGCCCTGCAGGCGCTGTGGCAATAGTTACACAGTTCGACAAGGATTTGCTGGGCATGCGCACTAGCACCATCTGCTGTAGATCTCCTACTGGCAGTCACCGGATGTGACGTCACCAGTTGGAGAGGTCGACAAGTTGGAAGTTTCGATAGAACACCGACTCGGTGCTGTTTGGCCGGCTCGATGCTTATTCAGGAAGCCGTGCAGAAAGTAATTACCCGCCACCCGGCTTCCTGATTGGCCAGGAAGCTGTGTTCCATTGTTCCCTCATGGCACTGTCGGTCAGAGGAAATGTCCGGTATTGGGGTTAAGAATTCGCCCAAATACTCTGTATTGGTGCATCGCTAATATTTATCATGCCACATAGAAATAATCTAATGTTTTAGGACCATGCAGGGTCCTTTCCTCAGCGTATCTCCTCGTCACTTCGGGCTCACACCGCGATCCTAACACTCCGGGTCCTAATTTAGGTGGCCGGAGACTGCCAGATGACCCCACTCGGAGCGCCGCCCCCCGGAGCAGCAGTGACGCGACGCTCGGCGAGGTAAGTAAGAAGAAGAAAAAAAAACCCTGCAGCGGCCAGTCAGGAGCAGGGGAGCAGGAGCCTGGTGCTCCTCCCACTGGACCAGTGCTGCCGCTAACTCCTCCCTGCTCTCTCCGGCACAGTCACACAGTGAGTGAGGGCAGATTTGGGGGGGAGATTTATTAAGCAATTATGTATTGTCTGCACTGTATTAGCAGTATATACTCTATATAGAGTATATACTGCTAATACAGTGCAGACAATACATTTACAATTATACTAACATGAATGGATTAAATGATCTGTATGTAGCCCTGTACTATGGATCATTTAACCCATTCATGTTAGCAGAGGATCATTGTAAATGTATTGTTGCAGGCACTCTATATGTACATGTACTATATACTACATATAGAATGCACTGAACAATACATTTACAATTATCCTCTGCTAATATGAATGGGTTAAATGATCCGTAGTACATGATATGTAGCCGTGTACCCCCTTTTCCACTTACAGAGCTAGGTTATTGTTTTTCTTTGAAATAAATATTCATGTAATTTTATTGGTATCTCTCTTCATTTTGTACATTTACCAGAAGCTGCCTCATTTCCCACCCTAGGCTTATACTCGAGTCAATATTTTTTCCCAGTTCTTTGTGGTAAAATTAGGTACCTCGGCTTATATTCGGGTCGGCTTATACTCGAGTATATACGGTAGTTAAAAAGGTGCATGCAATACTTTGAGTGTGATTTAGCTGCGGTTCAAATGAATGGGCTGCCTACCATAGTGAGCCACAGCGCACCCAATGTTGCATCGTAGAAGTGTGAATGAGCACTAAAGGAATTTTGCAAAAGGCTTCATGTTTTTTGTTTTTTTACCTGTAACTTTGTAATGATGATTTTATTTTACTGCCGCGCTGTGTTGAGCAGGTAAAACACAGTGTTCCATTACAGAAACCATAAATATCCCTTTATCTTTCAGGACACATGTAAGCAGACGCAGGATCTTGTGATGTGCATCTACCTCCGACGCACCAGCAAATCAAAATGAATCAGGTGGGTATGAGTTTGAAAGGGAACTGTGATGTACCTGACAGTTTGTATGTATATAGATTACCAGCAGCCTCACAGCACTGGAGATCTAAGCGGAGGACATTTAAAGGGTAAAAATCTCCTTTTTGAGGTTCTAATGTTACGCTTGGGTCTTGACATCTCCAGTGTGCTTGATTGCGAATATTCAAATTCATACCATGTGATGTTTTGTGTATGTTAATGGGCCACAGCGTAAAAAAACACAACCACCCTATAAAGGAAAGACTTATCACGTAGCTGTTCAGCTGGCCATGCCGCCGATGCCCTCTTTATTGAAAATCTACATTGGGTATAGAATCTCCAGCATCTGCTTTCGTTATTCGCCGGTACCGATACCGCTTCTGGTTGCATGGAGCCGGCTTCCCAGCAATCAGGAAGCCGGCCGGCGGGTAATGACATGCCGTCTGGCTTCCTGATTGCCCGGGAAGCCGGCTCCATGTTGTTTGGCCCGGCTCGATTGTGATTGGCCGGGAAACTGGCTTCCCAGCCAATCGGCATCAAGCCTGCTTTCCGGCCAATCAGGAAGCCGGGCGGTGAGTAATGACCCGCCTCCCGGCTTCCTGATTGGCAGGGGATGCCACCTCCATGCTGATTGGCTGGGAAGCCAGCTTTCTAGCCAAGCAGCAAGGTGCTAATTGTTCGGCCGGCTCCAGGCTGCTTGGCTGCTTTGCTAATTGGCCGGGAAGCCGGCTCCATGCTGATTGGCTGGGAAGCCAGTCAATACTTTGCCGCCTGGCTTCCTGATTGCTTGGGCAGCTGGCTCCATGTTCCCCAACAGCACTGCCTGTCAGAGGAAACCTTCCTCTGACCGGAAGTTTCGTTAGCGGGGAAGGTATCGGAGCAATACTCGGTATCGGCATACTAGTATCCGTATCGGTGCATCCCTAACCATGTTGAGTTAAGGTTGTAAGCTTACTTTTGAAGATGGCTATAGGATGTACTTCCTTAATGGACTGACACCATTTCACTCAGCCCTGTGAATATGCAATTTCTTGTGTCACAACTCAGACAGAGCTTACCTTTTGAACTACAACTCAACATCTGAACAATGTAACATGATCATTGCTTGCTGGAAGCAATGCATGATGGGATATGTAGTCTTGGAGACATTGAGATTGCATCACATCAACTAGCAGGGAAAGAGACACAAAGCACACTGGGAATCCAGGAAGTTGTTGGAAGTGATGGGCAGACGGAAGGCAGCACTCACTACATAAAAGGGATTTTTTTCAAGTAAGCTTTGATTGTATTATCAGACACATCTCCAGTATGTATTCCTATTACAGTGCTGATGTTATAACAGGAGAGGATATGCTGGGACTTTACAACTCCTTTAAGTCTTTTCTTTACAGGGTGGTCATGTTTACAAGTTTTTATTGTAGCGACAAAGTCAGACCTCCCAAAAACTGATGTCATGGAATTAAATCACCTTACATTCCCTCCCTGTTATATCTCTTAGGGAATCTATTGGTTAGATCTCTGTGCTGAGTTCACTGCTGAGATGCACCCATTATTAGGAGTTCATTGTATACTCCACCACACTCCTTACCGGTATACCCCCTTGTATTATATTTTCAGGAGTGCTCATGCTCCATATTTTTTTTTCTATTATGAAGAATGAAACCGAAGTAGCTGGAACACACAAAGGTGGGTGGAAACGCTCAAAACTCCCAAGTGGACAGGAACAGAGTCAGTAATTATGGCAGGTAGACTTCGCTGCTGGAGTAAACTGAGACATATAAGAAACCAGGTGCTGACTCAACCCACCAAGCTCCACCCATACCTAAAATAATATTTTTGGGTGTACCGTTGTTTTAAAAAAAAAAATCCTAAATGCACACAGTATAATTGGCTATTAGCCTCCCTGGCGGTAATTCCAAGTGTGGCTCGGGGTTAATTTTCAGTACCAAAAGCAGTAACCCCGAGCCAAACTCAGGATTACACTGTAGCGTCACTTACCTTGTCCCTACGAGCCCCGCTGTGTCCTCCGGCCGACGCCGGTATCTGTCTTCAGGGTTCCTTCCCTGCGAGCGACGGCGTCGCAGGGGGGCAGAACCGGCGGGAAATTCGAAAGTGAAAAGTGTTTTATAACTAGGTAGGCATCAATATCGAAATCAGTATCGGTGCTGATACTGGGCATTTTCACTGGTAAGAGTACTCGTGAAAATGCCTCGATGCTTTAAATTCTTAAACTGAAGTGGCTGCCTGAGGCCCTGCGCTTGCTGGGGAGCTCCCCGCAGCCTTCTCTCCTCCCTTGAGACCCTCCGCACCCCTCCCGAGACCCTCCGCACCCCTCCCGAGACCCTCAGGCCGGCACCCTGTAGAGTATGTAGAAACATATTCTGCATTGCTGTATAATGTATTGCTGGGATTTGTAGTCCTCTATAGCTGATGGTATTATAATAAAAGAAAAAACTGTCACACAACACTAAAAAAATGGTATCGGTAATTGCTGTCGACAAGTACTCGGTCTGGAAAAAATGGTGCGTTCCTATTTATAAGAATTCTTTTTGCCTTGCTGGGGATCTTCGCGGCAGCCTTCTCTCCACTCTTGAGACCCTCGGAACCCCTCCTGAGACCCTCTGCTGGAGGCATAAGGCCGCCACCCTGTAGAGTATGTAGAAACATATTCTGCATTGCTGTATAATGTATTGCTGGGATTTGTAGTCCTCTATAGCTGATGGTATTATAATAAAAGAAAAAGCTGTCACATAAAACAAAAAAAATGGCCGAAGCTACGGCCAGATCCTTCGGCAGCTTTGTGAATAGACCCCTATGTCTAAATTTTACAAAATGTAAAAAAAAAATTAAAGGGTTGAAAATGTATCGTCTGACCTGAGCCCAGGAATGTATTGTGAGTAATGTAGAAAGTACATCATAAAAATTCATTTTTCATGCGACTTGTCAGATAGATCACAATAGATCAGAGTTCTCTTCGCTCCGGGCATCTGTTCTTTGGCAGGTCTGCTACACAAGTCACAGAAGTTGTACTACTTTTGCAGGAACAGCTATTTTTTAATTAACACTATGCTGCAAAGATATGGAAACTGTCGAGATTTATTAGTTAAATTCGTGTCTTCTTTGTCTTCTCATTACCCACAAGAGAATTCTTGTAACCTGACAGAAAGTCCTGGTTGTTTAAAGGGGCCCTGTTTCTATCTTATGAGAATTTATTTATTTAATATTGGTATTTATATAGCGCTGATAATTTACACAGAGCTTTACATAATGCACATTCACATCAGTCCCTCCCTCCCTGGTGCTTTTTTTTATAAATATATATATATATA